TCGTTTGGCACGCACTGCGATCCAGCAGCTGTCTTGAATGCTACACGCGCGCCAGGCGTCTGTCGATGCTCTCTATTCCTATGGTCGCGAGCTGCAGAAACTACTAGGCATCGGGTCCCTCGTAACGAGCGGCATGGGACGACGGCGGGCGTTTGGCGCGAAAAGGACCGTCGGAGGCGCGAGGCGATGGGGATAGCGAGTGTGATGGGAGATGACCTCGTCGGCGTCGTGGGTGAGAAGGCCTACACCCGGTCTAGAAGAAAAGGTGGTTAGGTGCACCAGGCAAGCTTGGGCCTGCGACTAATCGAGTAATGATGGAGCGAGCACGTCGCGACTCGGAGCAGCTGGATGCGGACTCCCGGAGTGAGTTGGCGGCGGTACAGCACGATGTTTGGCGCGTGACGGAATGCGCGTCAGGCAACGGGGTCAAGAGTCTAGAGTCGACGGTGGTCTGGACAGGAGCGGGACGACACGACTCCTGCACATTTCTTCTGCGTTCTGATCGCTCTGGTTCAATGATGATCCCGCTGCCAAGCTAGCCCCCTGCAAGCGCCCTGCGCCAGCGCGGAGCCTTTCGCCGTGCCACAGAATTTCCCGCGACACTTCACAGCATTGGCATCATCAACGCCGCAGCGCCGTGGTGTCGAGCATCGCTATGAGCGCCCGGATACCCTCACGGCGGCTGGGGCAGTCAGGTAAGCTATTAATGGGAACATTGATCCCCTGCACCATTTTCTCCGCACCTATCGGAGCGCTAGTCGTTCTTCCGGGCGGTACAACACCATGACGACTAACATTGAATAGCCCTCGCCGCGCGCCCACACACCCAATGGATACCCTTAACCTCGATCCTTTCAATCTCACAGCGCAATATCTCGTTCGGGCGCAAGAAAGACAACGATGAGCTCTTCGATACCTTCTCTTCAGTCGCTCATCGCACTGCCGAGTTCAGAGGGGTCAAGAATAACAACGATGACCTCACCAACCCGATCCTCGAAGACTACCTATCGAAGAGGGCAAAACGAACAGGTGCGAAGGGAACAGACGCGTCGGCAGCGCCCTCACGCCCCACCCCTCGTGAAGGAGACTTCGCCGTAACCCCAACTTCCCTCTTCCCACCCGAAAGCGACATCCCCGGCTGGCGGCCAGACCTGAGCCCACAGGAGAAACTCGAACTCAAGGCGAAATACCGCAAGGGAGAGCAACAAGAGGCGCTTAAGGAGGACAAGAAGCTCATGGATATGTCACTCGATCCCGACCAGAAAGCCCGCAGGCGTCTCGAGCGCAAACTCGTCATTTCCGGCGTGAAGCGTCACGGCCGCATGACAAAGGCGCAGAAGCTACTCCGTACCGAACGCCAGTCAGTCTACAGGTCACAACTCCTTCCTACGTCTACCAAGAAGCTGCAGAAGGTCGTGAACCAGATCGCCGGAAAGACTGTCTCGGAAGCCCTCGTCCAACTCCGCTTTTCCCCGAAACGTGTGGCCCGCGACGTCATCAAGGGCCTCGAAATTGCGCAGAACGAAGCCATTGCGGCCCGTGGCATGGGTCTCGCTGGCGAAGACGCTGCGGTGTCGCGTTGGAAAAAGCAAAGAGCAGCTACGGATGCGGGGAGACCGAAGGATACTTGGGACTACAAGACGTCGAAAACGAATGGCAGTCTGGAGGCGAAGCCGGTCAAGGTGCCTTTCTTCAAGGACACGACGATCCAGTTGAAGGATGGGAGTAAGAAGGTGGTCCGCGATCCTAGCGAGATATACATTGACCAGGCGTGGGTGGGACCCGGGCAGAGCTGGAAGACCCCTGAATTCAGGGCGCGGGGTGCTATCAACATGCTGAAGCACCGAACGACGAGTGAGTTTGTCGCACACTTGAATTTGGACAATTGGGCGCTAACATTACCTGACAGGTTTCTCCGTTCTTCTCAAGGAAGAGAAGACGCGCTTGCGCATCTCAGACGAGATTCAGAAGAAGCGCGACAACCGCAAGCTGTGGACCGCACTTCCTGACCGACCCGTCACATCACAACGGCAATACTGCCTGTGGTAAACGATTGTACGAATTCAGTGTATAGCATATATTGCCGGTAGAAAAAAACTGGCTTGTACAATATACCATTCAAGATCAACCGTTCCCCATCATCCAAAGCAATACCAATCGCTTTATCCGGGTATCTCTCTATCACCCATCCAAGGTGCATAACGTACATGGCTGCTGCTGCCTTTTCAACTTTTTGAACATGTGACAAGATCCTAAACGCCTTCGCTATGCAAACAAAAGATCCCTTTACCATTCTCAAGCTTCCACGCCGTCTACTGCGCCGACACTGCTGACGAGCATATCTAGCATGCCGCGTACCTTCCATGCGTCTTGGCTTGCTTCGACTGTCACCTTGACTCGCTGCATGAGCGCCATGATTAGATCGTCGACGTCCTCGCTTCTGCCCAGTTGATCGGCGTATAGGTCCAGGACCACCAGCGCAACGTCGGTGGTCAGACGTGTGATGCGGTAGTCGGAAACATTCTTTATGCACCAGCGGAGGATGGGTTGGAGTGTGACGGAGTCGCGGTTGCTGAGAGCAGTTCGGAGAGCAGAGCGGTGGCGTAGAGCGGTCAGGAGAGTAAGGGACTGGCTGCGGGCGTTTGCGTCCTTGAGCGATGTTAGTATTAGTCTCAGAGGTGTACAGGAGAATGGAAAACATACCTTTGATTCGAGCACCATGTCCAGCGCCTGCGCGTACATGCCCTTTCGCAGCGCATGCGCCCACGGCTGTCCGGCCGTGATCTTTCCCCGCGCATTGCCCTCGATCACGATGTCTGCGCTCTCGCCGGTGAAGTCTTTGCCTCGGATGCGCTTTTCCCAGCCCTTTCCGCGCTTCCGCTTCTTGCTCCTGTCGTACTCTTCGATCTTGCCTTCCATAAGCGCTTTCATCTCCTTCTCTCGCTCACGAGCCTGAACCTTCTGCTCCCCGGAAAGATGGGTCTTGATCGAAAGAAGACCGGATTGCATACCGACCGCAATGTGTCTGTCTTCCTTTTGGTTCGGGATGACGCTGAGTGACAGGATGGGCGAAGGGTACTTCATCCCACCTACGACGTTCCAGCCTGTTGTTTCGAAGACCTTGACGTGGCCGTCGAGAGCACCGGAGAGGAGGCGTTCGCCATTGTTCGCTAATGAGAGCGCGGTCACAGTTTTCTGGTGGTTCCGCAGCATGTGGATCGGCTTTGCGGCCACAATGTCGAGAACGCTGATGACATTGTCGGCTGCTGCGAGGACGGCCGTTCCAGACGGCATAGGGAGGACAGTCTCGACGGGCGCAGCGTGTTTGAACACCATCATCGCCTTTCCGCCTACTCGCGAATCCCAGAGTCGCACCGTCTGATCGTAACTTCCAGATACGAGCAGCCCACTTTGCGCAGGCATGAAGGTGCCGCTGCGCACGTAGTCTTGATGCCCGTCAAACTTCATGACGCTCTTTTCACTCGGCAGGTCCCATAATCGCACGGTTCTGTCGTCGGAACAACTCATCAGGCCAGTAAGATCTATGGGGTTCCACTGTGTGACCCAGACGGGCTGCTTGTGTTCCTTCCATGTCTTCAATATGGCCCTGCTCTTGACATCGAACGCTTGTATGACACCAGTATCTCCTCCTGCGACCAGGATCCTGCCATCGCGCCGTATGTTTCCCGAATGCGCAACGTCGTCGACGCCGAAGCGCGATATCGTCTTGACGACCTTCCGGCTCTTGGAGGAGAAAATCTGGACGCGCGATCCCGTGGTGACTGCGAAGAGATCCTGGGTGGCCGAAAGCGTATTGGCGGGCTGAGGGGGCGGTATCGAGATGTGAGTTACGGGCGAGGAATGTTGCGAAGGGTCGAGTTTGAGCTCCGAGGCGAATGAGTTCCAGTACTTTTGCTCAGACGTAAGGGTGGAAGGGCCCTTTGGCAGCTTCAAGGGCTGCAGGAGTTGTACTTCGGCCGCCATTGTGAAAGTTGGATGCGATCAATGCGCGTGGAGTTGCGAATGTCGTGAGCTTTTCGGGTGGAGGAACTTTTCGGTGGGTCAACAAGTCACGCTAACGACATCGGATGGTGGCGCCTTCCCGGCCTGAACGCGGACAGATGCCGACCGTGATTAATATCAGCATCAAAGTCGCGAGTGAGTGGATCCCGATAATCTGTGCCGTCAGGTTTACTTGTCAAGACCGTCTTAATGGATTGCTATCATGATAGGAAAACGCCGGTCTCTTCGTCACACAGCATGAGCTGACTAGTGTTGGCTGCCTGGAGGATCGCCCGGGCGCACCCAGTTCATCAATAGACGACGGACGGCGCAGCACCTTCCACCTCATCAGCGTCAAGCCGGCTTCCACGTTCTGTCATGCGACCCCCAAACATCAGATGTCTCTCTTTTCCATTCGGACCTATTGACCTGCCAATGACAAATTGCCTGGCTCCAGGATAAACCACTCTCAGCGCGTCCACCAGGGCCGCGCTAGACGCGTCACGATGGATCCCGACGCGCTCGACAGGATGAACGATTTCTTCGATTTCGCCGCTCTTGAACAGAACGACGTAGTCGAACACACTCATGCCTCAAGTGGGCAAACGGTGTCATACTTTCAACCAGACAATGTCACGGCTATTGACTTCGCTTTGGAACCAGTGGCCCAAAATACCCTCCAATTGTACGACGTGCCCATGTACGACGTGTCACACGATCCCTCCTCTGGCGATATAAACCAGCAATGGCCAACGTCTCACCCAACAACATATGCTGCGACGTCCATGATTGAAACGAGTGTAGACTCAGGAGCAGACGTCGATTGGCAAACGGTTGGTATGGAACATGCGAAGGACCACAGGCTCCGCGATGCGACGGATCTCGCTCTCCCGCCTTCCTTGTCATCACTTGCGCTAATGCAATGCGATGATGAAGGCTGTTTAATCGATGCCCCGCACTCTCAGCTTGGGCTACGTCCTTCAGTTCTCGATCATTCAATGATTCCGGCCGATGCCTCCCTTGGACAGGAGCAGCTACCAGTCAGATCGGCCGCATCCCAGCAACAACCTTCAATTGCCACTTGGAAACCAGCATCAGCCAAACGTAAAGGTCCTCAGTGCCGTATTCCACTTGAGGCAAGGCAGGTGTTGGAGGACGAATTTGCGGCCAATCCATACCCCTGCGCGTGGGAATTAGACATCATCGCACATCAAGCCAATCTCGACGTGAAGAAAGTCCGTAACTGGTTCAATAACACCCGAGCCAGGAAGAAGTGTGGAGGTGAGTCGTATCCCATTCCATGAGATCATGCTTTGACTTACCTATTCAGATTCCCACCCCGCTGTAAAGGATGGTTCAGGCCAGAGCAATCGCACTCTGAAGACGAAGCTGTCAAAGGATAGTCTGGAAAGCCTCCAAAAGCAAGCAGACGACGCCTATCAACTGCCGCAGCCGCCTCTGGCGGTATACCTTGCACAGTCGTACCAAGAGGAAGCTGTTGAACTGTCTGCAGTGCAGGCTGCCGTTGATGTTGAGTCTCTCAACGAAAGCATCCCAAATAGTGGATGGTCTGAGTCCAGACAAGGCAGAAGAGGTTCCGTCATCACCTCGATTGCTTCTTCTGAAGGCACTGCACCTACAACATACACGGTGTCTTCCAGCGGTAGCCGCAGTAAAACCTCGTCCTTTGGTCGTGATCGCCGTCGAGGCAGACGTCGGATGGCATGGAAAGAGTCTCCTCGCCAAGCCATTAACGGTGTGAACAGTGCAGGTGAACCCCAGAAAGATCTGCCTTTTTTCTGTACTTTCTGTCCGCGGGCATTCAAGACGAAGTATGAATGGATACGCCACGAAGACTCTGTCCACGCGCTTCGAACCACTTGGATTTGCTGTGACACAAAGTCATCCGAAAATCTTGAAGCATGTCCATTCTGCGGCCAGGCCCATCCCGATGATGCTCACCTGGCTGGCCACAAGTACCAACAATGCCGAAGCAAGCCCGAATCCCAACGAACTTTCTATCGCCGCGATCACTTCATCCAGCATCTGCACCATGTTCACTTCGCCAACACCAAACATCCGTCCGTACGTACCGGCTGTCAAGCTCGATTATTAGCCGCTGAAGGCCACAACTTTGGTTGCAAGGACCTCGCCATGAAGTGGCGTCGCTTCGGTGCTCCAATGAAGCTTGATGATCCTATGCTTCATTGTGGCTTCTGCGGAAAGAAGTCAAAAGACTGGTCCGAACGATGTGAGCATGTTGCTGAGCACCTCGTCGCGCGTGAGCTTGACCGTGCTGTGTGGTGGAGCGAGCGCAAGGAAAACCATTTGGAGAACCTCTACTCGACTACACCATACGAATCCTTCCGATGCCGATACTGCCAAAAGGTCTTTACGGATGTCAAAGATATGAACGAACACTCTCACTGTCGTGTGTGGAGCTGTCGATTTCTCCGGAGCTTCGACGACGTTGCTGCAGACAATGCAGGTCCGCCCCTCTGTCCAGACTTTCCCTCGGCCAAAGCTCACCATTGCCACCTTTGCGGCTCCGGCTATCGAACGTTCCACGTCGAACATGCGCAGAATTACCATCGGTATCGCTCGTGCAATCAAGAGTTCTACACATCTGAAGACGCTTTCCTCCAGCATTTGCACAACTTTCATGGCGCTTCACAGCCAACATTACTGCGAGGCTCTGGTGTCATCGAGCAGAGCTATATGCGCAACAAAGGCGCATCGTTCGAGCCCGTGGAGTTCAATGAGAGCTGGCAGCCTTGCGTTATGGATCTAGACGTAGCCTCTGTCAGTCCATTTGTTGCCGACAACACTGTTTCAACCCTACCTGTCGATCACAGAAAGAACCAAAATCAGACCCGAAAGTCGCTCGTCATTCCAAAGAAAGCTCGTGACAATGTGCAGACTCAGGACGTCAATGTCAAGAAGGTATCAAGACAACGATCTGACACATCAACCTCGAAGGCCGAGAGTCATCACCCGCGATTCTTCCGACTCAGTACTTATGTACCCTTTCTGTCATCTCGTATCTTCTACTCGCGGTCTGCAAAGGCAGCGGACTTTCCGAGAGACAACCAGGCTGTGCTAGAAGAGCTACCGAAGCCGCACATTGCGACACTGGCGATGAGTGCAGGCACAGTCAGCATGGCCGCCACTCGCTGGTTCATTCGGCCAGACACATGTTCGGTTAATGGTATGGTAGAGCTTACCATTGATAATGAAGCAGATGTAGATTGAGCGAACTTAGCCGCTGCCGAGTGGGGATCGGGATTACTGTAGATCGCACGAGACCTTTGGCACTGCCCCCTTCCTCGGCAAAAGCTTTACTGCGTTGCCTGAGAAACTGTCCGACTGCTGACGTCGTGGTACTACCCATCCGATTGGTCAAGCAGCGTTGTTTTGAAGTGGATTAGACCGTGGAGGGCGCACAGACTGAGCTCCTTGTCCACTTCAATACTGGTGGGCATCCAGCAGCTCTACTGACAACACACCCAAGCTACCTAGCTGCTAAGTACGCACCCAATCAACCTCCCACCCTGTCAGTCCCTCGAGCCTGAAGCCAAGATTCGAAATCGCTCAAAGACAGCATGGCCGAAGACTCGGTGGTCCATCTCCCACCCGCCATCGACGTACCCAAGAACTCACCGGAGGACTTACTCCGCTCCACTACTTCTTCCGACACTGAGGTCAAATTCGATCGCTTCAATGAGCTTCCGGAGGAGCTTAAGCTTGAGATCTTTCGACACCATCTTCGCTTTCCCTGGAGTGTCACCTGTCGTAGCCATGACTTTATCTACGGACCCCGCTTTCTGAACACCGCGCTTGCCAACAAAGAACTGTGTAGTATCGCTTTCCAGATCTATTACCACGAAAACACATTCAAGTTGGCCTGGTTAGTCGTGCGCGGGTCACGTCGTACCCCATTGTCTTTCCGTTATCCATCTAAGACCGTCGCACATCTTGTCACGAAGCTCGAGATACATATGGAAATCCAGGGTCTCGGGTACCCCTTAAACCCATTCTACTGCGGCGGCTGCCAAGGCTCCCAACTAGCTGTCCTAGCTCATCCTCGTCGCGCGTCCTTCACAGCTGGGTATACCTGTTTTATTCTGGAGCCGCATTCGTGGGCAAATGACGGTAAGGCCAAGGCTGGCTGGGGAAGATACTTCACCTCGTTGCAAGAACTCCGCATTGTGATCCACTTGCCTTACTGTCTTCCGGAAGAATCGAACGTATTCTTCGAGCGACTGCCAGAGCAGGCGCGCCTACTGTTGCAGGCCAAAAACACCCGGGTCGAAGTCGAGCATGCTAATGGGCGCGCTCGCTGTGACGGTCATTGCGAGCGCACGATCGAACGTGGTATTATCGGTATGACAAGACCGCCTATTCCGAACCACTACACAGCGTGAGAGTTGTCTCCAGGACTATCAGGCCTCAAACCACTATTCTGGGGCGTTTCTCCTCCGAGGTGCATTTCGACTGCTTGAACGAGGGATATTTGTCGGCATTGCGCCGAATTGACGTGGCATAGTGACAGAAGCGTGGAACATGTGAAGGTGCTATGAGGACAGGCTCCAGAGTTTATACGGGCTGGTGTCACGGCGCATAATTCCCATCAAGTCGTCAGGGAGCATGTCCTGGACATGGGCGGTGGCGTCTTGATTGTCGTGTATACAATAATTTTCAACCTCAATCAGAAACGTCTTACCCAGGAATTTTTCACATCGTGGTCGTGATTGAGCAGATCATGAGCGCAATACCACATCTCCAAGAAACGCGTATCGCCGAGGTATTTATGAAAAGCCATTTTCAAAACACGAGGACTGGTAACGCCTACCTAGTCTCAACCCATCGAAGTCTCACAGCCATTTAGAACCTTGGAAGCGTTTCACTGCACGATGCTAGTTCTGCACCTGCCTAGTGGGTCGCGCTGCACTGACTGTACCTCAGGTGGTACCTGCCTTGCGTCCCGCTCTCAGGCCACTACTCTATATTATCAATCCCGCTCATACCATCACCGCCCTCACACCATACGAGTCTCATCACCCAACCAAGAATTACGACTACCAATATGACAACCAGATCCTACTCATTCCTCCGAGGGTTCCGCAGCCTCCCTGGAGAGCTGAAGCTGCTCATCTTACGCTACGCCGTCCACACTCCAACGGCCGTGACATCCTGCACTTGGCTCGATGAATGCAACCTCCATTTTCTCTGTTATCCTCAAGACTGTTTCGAAATCAATCTTCTCCAGTACGGTACGCTTGAGACAAGGCGATTTCTGAAAGAGACAGTGATGCCCCTCCTCTCTGTTCCTGAAATCAAGCACCTTGTTCTGGAAGCTTTCTATGGGGTCAATCGAACGGTGATGCTGTCCAATGACACCCCCTCTTCGAATAGGAATATTTGCTACTGTCCCCCACCTGTTGTAAGGCCGCTTGTTCGCCGTCTCGAGATTAACCTCGATTACAACAGACCTCATCATCTAAAATTATTGAGGGATATATCGGATGGGTCGACATTTCCGAACTTACACTACTTGACGGTCAACCTCGACCCAGAGTGTCTATTCTTCGACACCCAGGAGGACGACGAACCGAGGTCGTATTTCGAGGCGTATTTTCAGCGACTCGGCCCAATCCACTTCCCCACGCTCCATCTGACCATCATGTCAATCACACTCGGACCAAGCGACGTCGATATCGAAGCGGTGGAATCACTTTTTTGTGAGCAGCTTGACCTTAAAGCCAACGGAACCCGGGAAGAACGGTGGCAACGCTTCTATATATATGACGACAAAGACATAGACGAGAGGTCTCAATACGTTACAGAGAGGTCGAAGTTTGTCACCGGTGTTGCCTATGCGGGCGTTTATCAATATCAGCACCGTGTGACGATCAAGACCGTGTCGACTCGGCCGAAGGACTCGCCATATGGGCACCACATGTGGGCAGATTATCCAGTTCGGACGTAGCAACGTGGTGGTGGACATATGATGCGCTCCTTCTTATGAACTTAAAAGATGGAGCGGTAGGCTGTTGGACGTGGGGAAGTTTCGTCTCCCCCCAAAAGATCTAGAGGAGATGCATGTTTGACAAGCGAGTGAGCGAGCTTCTAGGTGTATTAAGTTAGCTACTCAGACGTACGATCACGAAGGTTTTCTCATTAATTCTCCAATGCATCAGCCCTTGAAACTGTGACGCCCTTTCCTGCTGCCGCAATCTAGCTGCAAGCAGGAACGGTTGCTGATATCTACGCGCTGATTCGTCGCCTTCTCCACCCTTAACCACAGATTCGCAGTCGCATTCGACGCTCACCCCAGTCAGAGCGATTCGCATGAATTTCACTCCTACTGCAACTTCTACTACTGGAATTTACACAAACAAAACATCGCGCCCTTAGAGCCTCGCAATACCATAACATCTCAAGTCAATCCAAAAATGCCTTCCAACGCCCAACACAGCAATGCAGCGTCCATCATCCCTACAGATGCGAAGACAAGCTTCCTGCACCAGTCCGATGCCGAGTTTCTAGAAAAGCTTCGATCTTTCGCCAAGTTCAAGGAACGCTCGCATCAAACGCACCACCAAGTACACGTACCAGAACTTACCGCGCGTCTTCAACTCAATACCCCGTTACCTACACCAAGCGAAGATGCTTCTCTCCCCGCACCAGATGCGCCCGTACCAAACCTCTCAAATACATCTCCCATTAGTGTCGTCTACCTCGGCAACTCTATGCTCGAGCGCTTCAAGACCAGCGGCATCACCACTGATATCGGCAAGCTCGGAGACATTGGAGTCGCATGGAACGCTGGTGTAGGCGGCGACAGCAACCAAAACGTCGTATACCGACTCACAGAGGGTCTTTACTCAACGCTCAAGAACGCGAAGAAAGACGTATGCGACATCAAACTCTGGATCGTGGCTTCCGGGACGAACAATCTACAGAAGAAGCGTGCGTTCCGAAAGCAGGATGTGGAGAGCTGGAGAGTGTTGGTCGAGGCTTGTCTGAGGATTGCGCCGGAGAGTACGATTCTGGCTTGTGATATGTTGTATAGACTGGATATACCTGATGCGATTGTGGATCAGAGTAATGAGATGCTAAGGGAGGTTGTTGGAGAGATCAACGAGGCTCTGAGGGTTGGGAAGGAGCACGAGCTGCAGACATACGAGGATCAGACTGAACGGGATCGCGAGGACAAGGTGAAGTGGGTTGATACGAGGCACATGTTCATCAAGAATATGCTTGATGACCATGTGCATCTGAATGAGGAGGGCTATTGGTTGTGGGATTTTGTGTTATGGCCGCATGTGGCCAAGGTCTTGGTCGTCCCGACAGAGGAAGATGATCAGCTTCTTGATTGGACGTGAGTCTCAGCCATGCCTGGGTTTGGTCAATGAGAATGTATCATTAGCATTCTAGATAGTAAAAAGCAGCTAGTAAGAAGTTGAGACGACGTTCCCCGTCCCAACCTTGTAGCCTTTCTGTTCGTCCTACATGTTCACTACCACCCGGCTCCGCTCTTGCAATTCCCAGTGATTGGTAGCATGACTCAAGATTTCTTGCCCATGATCATGTCTTTTAGATGTTGAAAGACTTCGGTATGATCCTGCTCGCAAGGATGATAGTGCCACAAGAACCGGCCGCCATTGTAGGTATCACGGACAGTAAACTCCACTTTCGGTGCCCGGAGACGTATCCTAGATTTTTCTATACAAGCTCTCAAAGTGTCTTCTATGCCATCCTCGAGAAAGCATCCGGGCATGATATCGCGTTCAAGACGCCACTCGATCCCAAGGATATGTAGGTTGACGAAGCGTTCTTGCCATTCAGGGTTTATGTTGGCGCGAGGTGCATTATCTTTGGTACCGTTGATCCAATAGTCTCGGGGAGGTAGATCTATAAGGTACATCCAACTCGTCGAGTGCGAGGCACATATAAGTCCCTTCTCTATACCGACCTTGCAGTTCATCGCCACAATATGCAGATGACGTATCATGGCAGCCGTATGTGGCTTGGGACACCAGAGACCGCTGATGCGGTCCTCAGGGGGAAACGAATAGCCTTTGCCAAGTTCGACGTCCCCTGTTTGCCTGCGGCACCCGATACACAACTCGAAGACATTTTTGTTGTAATATACTTCTTGTGCGATGTTGGCTAGATGACGGTTGCGCGTGGCCAAGAGTGGGAACAGGTCCGACTGTAGACACTGGGCGTGTTTCCTCTTGTCGATT